TTTTAATTTTGTATATTTTCTGGGATTTTGTTGCAATGTGTATACGTCACCCCACGAATGAATTGCTGACTCGAGAATCTGATACTACTAGCTTGTGTATGTTCCTTGTAACATTTCATTGTTGTAAAAACTTATTTTTGTAAAACTACTTTTATTTCTGTGTATGTAAATTACATTTTTCATAAATGTATTGAGAGGCCAAAGTTTGAGCAACTCTTTAGGTTTTAAGTCAAGGATTGCTCTTATGGCCCCCTTTTGAAAAACAAATATAATTTCAGTGTCTGTCGCGTATCCCCATAGCAAAATACCATACGAAATTATGCTACGAAAATAGCTAAGTAAACACTAGTCTAGCTGTTTCAACACTGGTAAGACTTCTGATATCTTTTACAGCATATGCTGCAGAACTTAGTCTGCTTGTTAGTTTTATTGTTTTAAAGATATATGGAGGCCCCATTGAAGTTTCGCATCTGGTGTGATTCCAAAAAAATGGTGGTATCGACAACACTTAGCTCCTCCCGATTTAAAATTACATTGGTATATAAATGTTTGACATTTAGAGTTTTGAATTTCATACATTTAGTTCTAGTGCCATTTAAATGCAAATTATTAACATTAAACCAATTTACTAATTTAGATATAGCAGTGGGTGCGTTTGGCAGAAAAAAGCGCTAGCAAGCGCTTCTAAGCAAAATGGCGATCGTAAGCGGTAAGCGCTGTCAAATCGTAAATAGCTATTTTCCTCTAGGACACGAAGTCAGTTTTAACCGGGGAACCTAACCTAATTTAAATATATGTTTGTAAAGTATTCATATTAAAAACTTACCAATCGTGAATTTTTAATAACATCTATATGTCTATTCATGTTATTATATTACTTAAAACTAATATTGCACAAAAAAAACTTATAAACTCTACTTCAAAACAAACAAATTAAATAAGCAAAATGGCGGATTCTGTGAGCGCTACTGAAGTAGCGATCGTGTCCTGGCCGAAAAATATTTCAGCGCTTGTAAGCGCTTGCTAGCGCTTTTTTCTGCCAAACGCACCCATTATTTACTTCGTCATATTAATTTGTCTTCATTTTAATTTGATAATTAATGAAGTGTCATCAGCAAATAATACTATTTTATGGTTATTTCCTTGTAAGTCATTAATATATACAAGAAACAGAAAGGGGCCGAGAATTAAGCCCTGAGGCATGCCCAGTTGTACTATCGATCTGGAAGAACTCATAGTATGAGAAAAAAAAACAGAACGTAAAAAGTTGTCATTAAAATGAGTAAGAGTAATGAGCAGTAACAACTTTTTGCGTTCTGTCTTTTTTATTATGTGCGAGGAGCTATTTAGGTCTAGGGAAAGTGACCAGTATCACTGCGACCTAAAAGATCTGTTGTGATTGCTGCTATGGCTATAGTTCACTGCTAAGTCCTATGTCTTCTATGATTAGAAGGAGTTGCTTAGCTGTGAGCAATTTGACTTCATTTGGGCGGGGTACATAGTTTCCCAGATGAGTGTTACGTTTGCGTATTAAGGGTCCGCAATAAGATTTTCAGAAGCGTTTCTTCCGTTATGGAACAGAACCGGCACATCCTTGAGTTGCTTAGTCCCAGGATATGCATACATGTGCTTTTTAAGACAACGGTGTCCAGTTAGGTCTCTTGCCAGAATGCGCAATTTATTTTTATTTAATCCCAGGGCTTCTGAAGCGAATTTACGATCAAAAGCCCAGCTTAAGGTTTTAGAATGTTTTAAGCCTCGTATGTCAGACCAGATCTTAAGTGATTTATTGATAAAGAGATAAAGAGTTTCAAGGGTCAATCGGGCTAAGCTTCTTGAGATTCCACAAAATGGGTCGGGTCCAAATTGTGTACTCTTTGAGCCCTCCCGTGCGAGTATGTCGACAAGTTCATTGCCTAAAATACCCGCGTGACCCGGAACCAATCTTATGACGATCGTGTTGTTACATCCCAGGGCGTTTAGACGGTTTACGCAGTCTCCAACTAGCTTCGAGTTGACTAAGTTTGACCTCAGCGCTAGCAGTGCTGCTTGACTATTAGAGTTTGTATACATTATATGGTTGACGTAGTGTGACGTAGTGTTTGTTATATTGAGATCTGTAAAATAACCTATGTTCACAAAATAAACTGATTTGATTTGATTTGATTTTCGCAGATTCCTTTCCGCACACTGAAGTATGGAGAAAAATTCTGCCTGGAAGATGGAGGTTCTACCCAAATTCACAAGAATTTGGGGGAATGCCCCAAATTCAAATTCAAACAATAAATTCCTAAGCTTACGTCGAGGCCCATTTTTGACCCATCGGTATACCATATGAGGCTTCCGACCTCAGATAACCTGGCCATTCAGCCAGTCTTCTCTGGAGGGTAGTTCCACTATATATTTCTTATTAAAAGTGTATAGTGGACGCATGATATCTGAGGTCATGCATAAGACCGGTGTTTCTTTAACACCATCATCATCTGGATGCTTGGCGGTCCACTACTGTGCGTTTTAATAGGAATTTTCTTCCTCGTACAACCTCTTTGTGGAATTGTTTACCACCGGCGAATTTTCCGGATCGATACTACTTGGGCCTTCAAGAAAAGAGCTTACTCCTTTCTAAAAGGCCGGCAACGCACCTGCAATTCCCCTGGTGTTGCAGTTGTTCATGGGCGGCGGTAGTCACTTACCATCAGGTGAACCGCATGCTCGTTTGCCCCGTCCTCTGTAAAAAACTAAACCTAAACCGCCCTGGGTGTTAATCCTATACAAATTAGCCCTCGCCTCCTAGTCTAGATAAAAATCAAGGGGCGTTAGGCATAGAAGTGCATTAAGAGCCGCTCCAGGCGATGATTGCATCGCTCTAGTTGCCATTAAGTAGCCAGTCCTTCGTAGACTATTTAGTCGCCCGCAGTCGTCCTTTGGTTGGCCTTGTTGCACCAGACAGTGGAGGCGTAGGTGAGAATCGACCTAACTATGCTGCTGTACAGCCATAGGATCATACTGGGACGCAGCCCCAGTTGTTCCCGACCAAACGACTGCATGTACCTAAAGCAATTTTTGCCTTATGACATACGTTGCTAAGGTGGGGGTTCCACGTTAGTTTTTGGTCGATTTTTGGCGCGTCTTCATGGATGGCACTATCTATACTTAACTTCAGTGGAGAATGGTACTTTTTTACCATTGAGTTTTGGTGTGACTAGTTTGTGCAACTGTCTCTTTTTGGTAAAGGGTATTATAACAGTTTTATCAGCTTTCACTGATAAACTGTTATCCCTACACCAGTTATTTAGGTATGACTCCAGTGTTTAGGTATAACTGAGATACGATTAACGATAAAGTACTTTAGCCAAAGCCCCTCCTAATGATCACAAGGTCATCAGCATAACTCAGTGTAGTGCGTAGGTCTGCCATCTTATACAATAGTTGGTCAACTGCAAGAGTCCAAAGAAGGGGTGACAAAACACCTCCTTGTGGGCAACCTCAAACGAAGTTTGAAACAGCGCTATTTTTTCCTTTCTGTTTGAGAGCATCGACTTCACCTATCTGATTATTGTGGGGTCAACATTTTTAAGATCTCAGTCCCCCAATCAGCAGTGATGTAGGGCTACTGTCGAAGGTGCCCTCAATATCTAGAAAGGCATAAAGAGCTATTTCTTTATCCTCCAGTGCCTTTCGACCTTGTAAATAACTCTGATCAGGGCTAGGAGTCAGCAGCCTACTGCACCAGGTTTATTATCTTTGCAGCTCTACACCCGTCCTCATTACAAGTCCTATGCTCTGTAAGAATTCAAGGCAAAAGTCTTATGTGACCCAGGGGAATGGATTGATGCTAGTAACTCCAATGTTCAATAGTATCAGGCTTTTTAAGAAGCCCGATCTGATTAGGTATAGCTTGTGATAGCGTTTTGTGTATTCTTGCACTAGGCTTTACTGCTAGCTTTCTTTATTACATTTGGTTATGGCTGCACTATAAATATCGCACTCTGGGTTTTTAGCCCTATTTAATAGTTTCCCGGTCTTTCCCTAAGCTCTATTAGCTTAGTATTCCACTAAGGAACTTTTCATGTTGAGGTCTTGGTTTTGACGGGACAGCTGTCCTCAAACGTCTCCGTCGCTAACTCCAGACCACCATCGTTTTGATGCTTTTAGGAAACTTTTTCAAATTTCTCCTTAGGCTATCTCTGTAGACATCCCAGGAGTCGCTTTTGGAACCGTAAAATCAACAGTTTCATAAGTTGGTGATGCTCCAATCACAAACATAATATGTTTGTGATCAGACATCGAGTTTTCACTACTAAAATCATAAAGTAACTCACCTCTTTCGTTGACGTTAGTGCTTCGCCAGGCTGTGTAGTGAGCATTAGCATCATAACAATTCGGCATTGTGTTTTCGGACGAACACCGCCACTCGCTCTAACTCATTGGTAGGATCTGAGCTCTCTCCGGGAAGATAGGCTGAGCAATTGATTACTCTGGCCCCTGTGCATCCCTTAATATTTATGAAGGCTGTAACCAGGTATTCTTTGCAGTCCTCTGGAGTAGCTAAAAGTTCAATGTTTTTATTGTAATTATAAAAACTGGGTCTACTGTCTTTAGTATTCAATAGGATCTTACCAACAGCCGACAATCTCAGAACTTGTCCGTTGGCCACCCAAGGCTCTTGTGTGAGGGGGAGGTGGATATTGTCCTCTGCAAAGCAAACCTCCACCATGGCAGAAGCAGCTGCTGCATGGTGACGATTTGCCAGGAGGACCCTCCTCTTACCCTTGGAGTTAGCCATTTTATAGGCATTGGGCAGGGGTTGTTTTCACCTGCTGAGGACGAAGACGTTTACTGGCGCTCTTGACCCCCGCCTTACTTTTCGCACCACTCTCTTTCCCTTTAACTTGGCATAGTTGTAATTTCCAATTACCCAAATATGGTTTTAAATTCAATTTTTCACTTTATGGGTTAAATTTTTGTTTCAAAATGTATAATTCATATTTCTTTTACAGATTGTATGAAGCATCGCCATCAGATGATGTGATAGAGAAGCTCAAATGTATATGTCATTATTTCAGAAGAGTTTGCACTAAAGGTGATACTATTTTTTTATCTTTTATATTAAAGATTTTTTTCTGTGGCGTAGGTATTTTTAAAGCGTAAAACTTAAACAAAGTTAATTATTAACAAAGCGCAGAATGATACTGATATATTAATTAATGAAATTGAAAAAAAAAACCAAACATTTAAAATTTTTGTTATTTACCAAACTTATAAAAAAAAAAGAAAAAACTTAAAAAAAACTCAAAAGAGTTTGTTTATTTTCACGATCATTACTACTTTATCATATTAATGTTTTCATCTTCACCACCATCCTATAATAGTTGGCTGCTAGTCACCTGCCCCATTTTTGAACAGATTTTTTGTTATGTCATGCTTGATTGAAGGATTGGGGAATATGTTACCAGACCTTTCATTAGATTCTTCCTATCGCCAGTTGACACATTTTACATTTAGCATATTATACAAAATGCTTATAACACATAATATACTTACAGAGATTTGGGATTACCTATTGTGAAATTTTACTAAAAAACTCGTTACTACTGCTTTTTGACATTGACTTATCATGACAACGTTAACATTGTATATAGGTATACAATTTCTAAAAATTTTACTAAGGGATTATGTTATTGGAATGTGTTCGTTTAAAGCCTACCGCGTCGTGTAGGGGTGGCGTATCCACTACCCCACATAATTCAGTGGGTATAGAAAGAGGTGACAGAGGAAAATGAAGTAGGACATGGGCAGAAGCATTTTCCTGACCATCATCATTATCGTTACAAGGGTCTCCCTAAGGAATGCCACAAAGTATGATCCTGTGCCAATGGCATCCATCGACTTCCTGCATCTCTTACCAGGTTGTCAGTCTATCTTTTTATTATCTTCCTGATAATAACTCAAAATAATAATAGGGGAAACCTCAACAGTGGACATTAAAGGTTCACGCGTCACGCGTCCATTGGCCCGCGCCGGACGTACCGCACGCACGGCAAGCAACGGATTGAACGGATTTGCCGATGGCATGCGTCCACTATATCCGGATTTTTAAATTCAGTTTCGAGTGTTTTCTTCTCGTGAGTTGACGTATTCGGTCATGGAGATTGATCATTGATATTATTGTTATTAGCAGCTTGTTAGAAGATGAAGAAGAACGTAAAACTAAACTTAGTGGGTTTGACCTCTGCCCATATGATAAGAAAGCACCATGCCAGGGTACCAGGAAACCCTGCAGATACTGCAGTACAAGACAAAACCCACAGAGCTCATGTGTAAAATATTACGTCAAATATGTCAAAACAATGTGCAATATATCTCAAGTTCTGCTCTGTACAGGACCTTGTTAAGATAATTATTCCCAAAAATATAAAAATAAATACTTTTCTAGGTTCAAGCGTTGTTTTAATAATCAGTGAATAATTTACTAGTATAATGTAGTCTAACCCTTAATAGCTGTGCAGATGACTTTCCGAACACTGGTAACATACGTACCACATTATTCTTGTGTAATGGGCAGTCGCCATATTGAAACCACAGGGTTTTCTTCAGGAATAGGAAAACGGAGTAAAAACATAGTATTTTTATTTGTATATCCTTATATTCTACCAAACTCAACACTCTAAAGAAAAAGAAAAAAACTCGCTAAGCCTGGCTAAGGCCTGTGTAAGGGCAAAACAAAACAACACGTGCGGCAGTAGCATAAAACACTATTACTCTTACCGGAGTGCAGTAGGCGATGCCAGCGTCGAACTGATTTGTGTGACGTCACCGGCACGAAATGCATTTTTTGCTCATAAATGCCGGCGTTCCGTGCTTGCGGCGCAAATAGTGGACGCAGCGCCATGTGAAATCATACAAAGCAAACTAAAATCGCGCGGCCCAGTGGACGCGTACGCGTACGCGCGTTAATAGGCTGTAATGAATTTAAAAATAATAGAGAGTACAAGTAAAACTTACGGCAAGCATATACGCTGTAAATTTCACAAAACAAGTGCGCCCGAGTTTGAATACTGCAGGTACGGTATTGACTAACTACTTTGTAAGCATCTCAGAAATTAAAACGATTTTTTTAATTTGTTTATGTAATTTCGAGATGATTGTGTTCCAAGTTATGGGATGGCCGACTTTCTTATCTGATATAGAAATGCCCCATATAACAAAGACATCCTGTGCGGTCTCTTGCAGTACAGTGCCAGTCGGCGTAGTGACGTTCACTCGCCGTTCAGTACCGCCGAGGAGCCTTCCGCAGTGGGCAGAATCGACGCTGCCAATAGCGACGTTACCACTGCATGTTGACTCTAACAACACTATTGAAGAAGCCGATGGACTCATACAACTAGATTTCGCTAACAAGTACGTTTTTTTAGTTCAGTTTTATTCATTTTAATGATTTTTTTTATATAGAATAAGGATTAAAAATTAGCGCACAGTCCATTTGATGTTAAGTGGATGCTGTGGCCTATAGCATCTATCCTCGATTAAGAATCGAAATGCAGATGCGTTGTCACCCCTGAGAACTAACAATGAATGCCTCGTTTTCATTAAAAAGTGTCTTCATTACTCTACACTCACCACATGAAATAACGAATACGAAACAGCCGCATTAACCCTTCAACCCCTAAGCGGTTGTTTCGACCGCGGCGCTATTCCGTCAAAATTCAAGCGGTCGAATTCAACCGCGCACACCCACAGCACTTTAAACCATTAAATATATATTTAGAGACCACTTTTCTATGAAGAAGTTTGGCATTATAGAATCAATATGGAATTTTCTATCCTCTAGTGCAATAAATAATATTTATGCTATGGATATTTATTTATAATCTACGTTCAGGCATCCCCCAATTAATGCCACAACGCACGGTCCTGAGCCACCTGCATCCATCGACTTCCTGCATGTCTTACCAGGTCGTCACTCCATCTAGTGGGTGGTCGCCCTACACTACGCCTACCGGTACGAGGCTGCCACTCGAGAACCTTCCTTCCCCATCGGTTATCGGTTATTCGAGCTATATGGCCGGCCCATTGCCACTTCAGCTTACTAATCCGTTGGGCTATGTCGGTCACTCTGGTTTTACTGCGGATATCCTCATTTCTCAGTCTATCACGCAGAGAAACTCCGAGCATAGCCCTCTCCATAGCTCGCTGAGCGACCTTGAGCGTCCTCATACGGCCAGCAGTGAAGGACCACGTCTCTGATCCGTAAGTCATCACTGGCAACACGCACTGGTTGTATACTTTAGTTTTCAGAGATTGAGGTATACCTGACGAGAAGATGTGTCGTAATTTCCCAAATGCTGCCCAGCCGAGTTGAATCCGTCGATTAACCTCTCGGTCGAAGTTGGACTTACCTAGTCGGACTATTTGTCCCAGGTAAACGTACTCGTCAACAACTTCGAGCATAGTGCTCCCCACAACTACCGGCATAGGTGTGACATGGACATTGAACATAATCTTTGTTTTGTCCATGTTCATCTTAAGACCTATCCGTTGGGAGACACCATTGAGGTCATTGAGCATAGTGCTAAGGTCCTCCAGCGATTCTGCCATAAGGACTATATCGTCGGCAAATCGAAGGTGAGTGATGTACTCGCCATTGATGTTAATACCGTATCCTTTCCAGTCCAGTAGCTTGAAAACGTCTTCCAACGCAGCGGTGAAGAGTTTCGGGGATATAACGTCACCCTGTCTTACATCTCTCTGCAGTTGGATAGGTTTCGAACTCTGGTTCTGTACTCGGATAGTCATCGTAGCCCTACTGTACAAACACTTCAGCACTTCGATATACCGACAGTCAACTTGGCACCGCTGAAGGGACTGTAGCACCGCCCAAATTTCGACGGAATCAAAGGCTTTCTCATAGTCCACATACGCCAGGCAAAGTGGCAGATTGTACTCTTCGGTCTTCTGTACAATCTGCCGCAGGGTATGTATGTAGTCTATGGTACTGAAGCCTTTTCGGAAACCGGCTTGTTCGGGAGGCTGGAAGTCGTCGAGTCTGCTTGCGAGACGATTCGTAATGACTCGAAAACAGCACGTAGACGCGGCTCAGAAGGGAAATCTGTCTGTAGTTCTTCAAGAGAGCGTTGTCGCCTTTCTTAAAGAACAAGACCACCGCACTTCTGCTCCACGCCTCCGGAGTAGTGCCACCATGGAGGACGGAATTGAAGAGCTTCTGAAAGACTTCAAGTACCGGTGTTCCACCCGCTTTCAGAAGCTCCGCTGTAATTCCATCCTCGCCTGGGGCCCTCCCGTTTTTAAGGTGCTGGAGAGCCATTCTAATCTCGCTCAGACTGACGTCCGGGATATCATCGGAATAGTGTCGGGTAAGACTTGCTCTTGTATCGTTACTCACACTTGCGTGTGGCTCCAACGATGATGTGTACAGCTGCCCATAGAACCTCTCAATCTCACTCAAAATCTCAGGTGTCCCGGAAACGATGCTGCCACACTCAGTCTTCAGCTTTGACAGTTGGCTCTTTCTAGCAGACAGATCTCTGGCAAAGACTTTGGAGCCCTGGTTCCGCTCGATCGCTTCTTTAATACGAGCAGTATTAAAGTTGCGTTAGTCTTGCCGCATGCATTTGGAGATCTGTCTGTTCAGTTGCCTGTATGCTGTCAAATCTGTTGACGATTGCAGCCTCTTCTCCCGTCTAACAGCCATGAGATTAAGAGTGTGATCGGAGAGTTTTTATGTTCTTCTGCGGCGGGTCTTGCAAAACTTAGCTCCGACCGCATGGACAGTTTCCACGAGCTTGTCATTCATATCGTCCACTGCATTGTGGACAGGTCCAGACACTAAACAAACACTTAAATAGTCACATACTTGCTCTGAGAAGACTTTCAAAGGTTTCACATTATAAAACTGGATTAATAGCTTATAACGCCTATGTTTCGTCAATATTAAGGTACTGTATAATGTTTTGGGACAACTGTTCTGATAAAGATACCATATTTAAAACTCAGGAAAATGTATTAGAGAGCGATATTCGGGCTTAAATCTACTGATAGTTGCAAACCCTACTTTAAAGAATATAAAATTTTGACACTTCCTAGTTACTTCATTTATATATACATAAATGAAGTAGCAACATTTGTGCATACAAACATTTGTGCGTACAATCATTTATCAAACAATATTAAACTCAACAAAATACAAGACTTCAAAGAAAAACTCAATGCAAGACTTTATTCATGAAAAACTTTGAAACATTTTTTTTTGAGTTTTTACTTACAAAATTGTGCTTTATTTTGATTTTATTATGATATCTTTTGACATTTACTAAAATTATAGAATTATGGTCTGATGATTAACCTTAAAATTGGTAATTGTTTGACATTGCAATTAATCGGACAATTTATTTCTATTTAAATATTTGTATGCCAATTAATGGTAGATCATAGAGGACACAATAAGCAATTGTTCACATCTTTTTAATGTATTACTTGTGATCAACTTATAAACGTATTATTATTATAAGAGTGAGGAAAGAGAGAGTGCACCTGTGCTTGCACGTATACTTAGCAGTAAATTCTCTTCCTTTGCAGATGGCTTGTTTTCGTTGAGACAGGCCAACGTAACCGGAATTTCGCCTGGAAGACATTGTCTTGCACCTTTGACGCTCTCTAGTCTAGATATTTTACATCTTGTGTAAATGAAGTGGATATACCGTCATGTATCGAAATCCTGCAATAAAACTGCTTTTATTCACTTCATTTTATCACATTCATAATGCTGTCCTTTCTCTTTTTAGATACTTAGGAGGCGGCGTGCTTGGACACGGCTGCGTGCAAGAAGAGATTCGGTTCGTGATATGTCCAGAACTGATGGTGTCCATGCTTTTTACCGAAGTTCTAAGACCAAATGAGGCGGTTATGATAATTGGTGAGTTTATTTATGTTCTTATGTATTGTATAAAAAATGTAATTTTTAACTTTCAATTTATTTAATTGGACGTTTCAAAAGATATTTATGGATTCGATGGCTTTTATGGCTGATTTACACAGGGTCAGTAACTGGCTCCAAATTCCAGGCAAGTCAGTGCTGACTCGATACTGACTTAGTGTAAATTGATTTGGAGTCAGCATAGCGCTGTCGCGCCAGTGCTGATTTTAGTATTCCTGCTTGAATATTTTGAAGTCAGTCCACTCCCCCCGCCATTCGCGTCTGCGTTATTCACTTCTACGTTTCGCCTGGTGAGTCTGGTGAGTGCAGGTGACCGGAGCCCCTCCCCCTTGACATGGTAGCGGAGTTAAATTGAACACTACTACCCCAGGGGGGTACCAGCACTCCTAGTGACGGAGAATCCCTTGCTGAGTATCCACGCCCAAGCTACCCTACCCTTCCTGTGCGTGGGTATTCAGGCTGCCCCGCGTATTCTGAGGGAAAATTCCGCTCAAGATAAAACCTGCGCGGAGCGAAAACCTTAACGCCGTCCACTACCTTCGAAGCCGGTCTTGCTCTTTTTGACTGAGACACAGGTGTGCTCTCCTACCCGGGGACAAATGAGAACACTCCTTTGTGCTTTGGGCTGAAGTTTGCGTATACGTCAAAGAGGACATCTGTTTTCGACAACTTGGCAGTCTGAAAGGTACGGACTTGTTCATCCTATGCCTGCGCGTAGACAGCGACGACAATCTCCGCGTCTACGGGTGCCTCTATAGGTCCCATAGCGGTAATATCGACACAGACCAACTCATCGATCACGTCGTAATGTCCGTGTGCGTGTCCAAATGTAATGTACCTTTTCTGTAGGACTTCCTACTGACCTTTCATCCGGACGGATATCAGTTCTCTGTCAATGCCCCTCTTGACTCTTCGAACCATTGTCTGATCCGGAGTACGATGCCACTCAAACTCCCATTGCGGTTGTGTCCTGTAGGTTGCCGTTTGGCACTATAGGTTTTTTATAGGATAGGGTGACAAACGAGCACACAGTCCACCTGTTGGTAAGTGGTTGCTGTGGCCCATAGACATCTACATCTATTATCAGTTACGAATCGAAATGCAAATGCGTTATCACCCGTGAGGACTAAGATGGAATGCCTCTTTTCGTGTAAATAGGGTCTCTGGTTCTCTATATTCACCATATGAAACACAGCAGCATTAAGCTACTATTTTACGCTGGTATTCTGTGAGAGCGCGGTCTTTCCCCGGTCGAGCCGACCCATTCGTACTACTAATATAACTGCAGCATGGCTCTACCACGTATAAAAAGTCGGCCGAATGAGATAGGCTGGGGTCTTTTTTTGCATCCTACCCTTTAGGACCGGTTTGCTCCTCGCCGGACGATCCCAACGTTGTTGCTGCTTCTGCCGCTCATGTGGTACTTCAGGGAGTGGAACTATTTATTCCATCATTTGTGGTGTCTATCAGAGGCAGAATTCAGCCATGTTTTGGTCACTCCTGTATAATAGCATCACGCCATAAGCAGGAGTGCTACCGGTCCTGGGCTGACGCATCAACGTCTCGGGATGCAAACACTAGCGCTCTTAAGAAGAAGTATAATTTTAATATTTCAGGTCCTTCAAAAGTGTCATTGCCGAAACAAAATCAGAGCACATCGGCAGAATTGACGAGAAACTGGTTCGATTTCCTTCGGGAACACGTGTATTCTGTTCTCTCGCCAAGGCTGTCCGGGGAATTTCTGTCAGCCATCTCTTCTATCTCTGCACAGAGAACATGACTCACTGGCCCATGCCGCAAAGGAGAAAGCCGATCTGCTTGGTTCTCTCTTTGCGTCCAACTAGACTCTCGATGACGGGGGGAACACACCGCAGACCATCCCGGGGTGTGAGTGATCCATGTCGGATATGCGATTTACACAACGCTCGGTTCGCAAAGTACTCCTCTCCCTGGACGTTAACAAGTCGAGTAGGCCTGAAGGAGTACCTTCCATTATGCTAAAGACGTGTGCTCCGGAGTTGGTACTGGTTTTAACGCGTCTTTTCCGGTACTCCTACTCCCTAGGCGTAGCCACGAACTCATGGAAAACAGCTTTGGTGCACCCGATCCCAAAAAAAGCGACCGCTCAAATCCGTCAAAATACATAACAGGCCTATCGCTATCACCTCCTTGTTCTCCAAAATAATGGAAACAATTATAAACTAACTCATGAGGTATCTTGCGGATCACCAGCTTATTATTGACTGCCAGTACGTTTTCCATCAGGGTCGCTCAGCTGGTGATCTTCAGGGTTACCTAACTCATAGATGGGTGGAAGCAGTGGAGTCCAAGGGGGAGGCGTTGGCCCTTAGTATGGATACAGTGAAGGCCTTCGATCGGGTTTGGCACAAAACACTTCTTTCGAAGCTTCCGTCGTATGGGCTTCCCGAGAAATTGTGCAATTGGATCACCAGGTTTCTTACAGATCAGAGCATCAGGGTCGTAGTAGACGGTGTATGCTTCGATTACAAACCCATTAACGATGGTGTTCCACAAGTCTGCGTGCTATCACCAACGCTCTTTCTTCTGCATATCAATGGTATGTTGCAAACCGGGAACATCACAAGTCGCATTTTACACTAAAATAAAATAAAGCAGTAGAGAAAAACCAATGAATACTCATACTTTTCAAACTTACGACTGTTTATAATTGATGTTAATATTGTTACGAGCTTGAGGTTCGTGACAATAAAAACTGCCGATTGAATTACCAAAATTTACACTTTTATTACCGAACACCAATTAAAACTTAAAAGACACTAATAATTAATCACACTGATTCACTTTATTTCGCTCCGAAGCTTCGCTTGTCTCGCCAAATTCAATACTGCCCCGATCGCGGCATGCAGCGGCTTTAAATACACTTTTTACACCGAAACATCCAGAATATTCCGGTAGATACGGGCGCCGACCGACCAGACGCAGGAAGTTCGAGTGTGGGGCTTCTAGAAAGCTTAATTCTTCTGTTCGATACTAGATGGCGCTGTTGGTTGAAATATACTAATATGTCATGGCATTTTCTGGAAAGCTCTCCTCGCTCTGTTACCCGACACTAGATGGCGCTAGTGCCAGGTACCAGCCGTCAACATAGGCGCGCAACAATATGAACTTCATACTGTGTAGATCGGAACAAAAGTTAATTTTTAATCTATGGTAACCGCGATTAACTATGACATCTGGACGTTGAACATCTTAGTTCCCCGGTGACCATGGGTGCTGTAATGTGCTCGAAACGTTGGGTATTTAAAAAGTTAAACGTATGATAAAATCCGTAAAAACTAGTATTATTTAAATGTTGCATCTTTTTGCGTATTTTATCGCATCTATCGCGGGGAGTGCTGAGGAATTGTTCGGACTAATTCCAGCCGCTCAATTTAACCATCGCACATCACGACAAAACTCGCGATATCATCCATACCATCTGGTTGATTGGCGGTCCACCACTGTGCGATTTAGAGGAAGTTTACTTCCTCGCACAACTTCCTTGTGGAATCGACTACCACTAGAGATTTTCGGTTCGAAACGACTTAGTGGTATTCAAGAAAAGAGCCTACTCTTTTTTAAAAGGCTGGCAACGCATGTGCATTTCCCCTAGTGTTGAAGTTGTTCATGGGCGGCGATAGTCACTTACCATCAGTTGAGCATGCGGCTGTTTGCCCCCTCTCTTACAAAAAAATCCAACTTGTTTCTCAAATGCAGCTATTTAAATTTCACATGGCTGTGTTCTCAACATTATCTTTTAACTTGAACCTGAACGGCGTTCACTAGATTAGTCGTTTAATGAGGGCTCCCACTCACCAGATGTAACTAGTTAGAACTGAGGGGGAGTGAAGTTTTTTATTTTTTATACAATGTAATTTTAATTGAGAAGTTGCAATGAAAATAAAAGTTTATTAATTTCTAATGTGTGGTAAATACACAAAGCAGTGCCTTGGTGGTTTGCTCATTAATTTTTGCATACTTTTAACTTTCTTTTTAATATTTTTACTTTTAGGGATATTGGCAGTTTGATTATGAATAATTATTAATATATGAAAGAAACATAAAAATTTATAATTTCCTACCAAAACACAATTGCTATGATATTATCAAATATTTCACTTCATTCCTAGTGGTGCCACCCTATGGGTAAAAAGTTGTGGATATCGTCACTATCCGGTTAGTTTTACCATCTGGCTTCGGCATGTTATCGAACGCCGTTACTCGCAGGCGGCGAGCGCTACAGCCGCTACGTGGGCTACGGGCACACTTTCGAGTGGGCGGGCGAGTGGCGTGACACCGCGCCGCGCGACTGCAGCGGGCGGCGCCGCGTCGCGTTGCTGGCGCTCGACGCGCTGCAGAACGGCGAACAGCGCGAGTGCAGCCCGCAAGGGCTTGCGCGCGACCTCAACAAGGTACGCACCCCTCGCGAGTGTCCGCACTCGATACGTATGTACACGTATCGGTTCTTCGAGCTATATCGGTCTGCCATATAGCTCGAAGAACCGATAACTAATAGGGAAAAAAGATGTTCGGATAGCAGCCTTTTTCCGGCAAGCAAAGTAAAGGATGGTCATCCAATGAATGTAGGTTATAAAGGACCGTGCTTTATGGCATTGCTTGGTGAGAGGCCTGCCTATGTTCATTAGTGGATTTGAGATTGACAGTTATGATGATGATGTGTATGCTGGTTACTTTTTCGCTACAAAATTGATAATATAAGTTGTAATTCTTCTCCGTCATCAGTCCGCAAAATACCACTGCTTTACATTGCCCTCTCCCTTTTTAGGGAGGATTTGTATTACTACGGCACGAAACGGGGTGATGGCTACTCCTACGCCTCCATCAAATAAAAAAATAAACAGTCATCCTAAATTATTAAATAAATAACAATAAGTGTAATGAATTTTCTTACATTGTCACATTGCTGTGATGTCTTTGTGTTTTTTATAGGATAAGGGTGACAAACGAGCACACAGTACAACTGATGGTAAGTGGTTGCTGCGGACGTCTACATCTTTTGATTTTGATCGATTACGAATTGAAATGCAGATGCGTTGTCACCCGTGAGGACTAAGATATAATGCCACGTTTCCAGCAAAAAGAGTCTCCGGTTCTCTCCACTTACCATAAACGAACTCGAAACACAGCAGCGTTAAGCTACTATTTTACACTGGTATTCTGAGACACACCTACTATTGTGACGAGCTTAGGGTTCGTGACAATAAAACTGCCGATTGAATTACCAAAATTGACACTTTGATTACCGAACACCAATTAAAACTTAAAACACACTAATAATTTATCACCCTTAACACTAGTTTACTTTATTTCGCTCCTAAGTTTTCGCTTGAAGCGTCAATTCAATACTGCCCCGGTCGAGGTCTATACCGGCTTTATATAGGCCTTAAAACATCTAGAATGTTCGAGTAGAATGGCGAAAGCTCTAGCAAGGAATTTTCTAGAAAGCTCTGCTAGTTCTGCTACTCGATACTAGATTGCGCTAGTGCCATATACCAGGCATCAACTATGGCGCGCAACACTGTTGATATAGCTGCAGCATGACTCTACCACGTATTAGCTCTACCACATATTAGATAATTATAGAATAGTTAAATACAGTATTAATTTATATATTTTTTTCAGGCATGGGTAGGCTTTTCTTTTAACACCGATAGTGAGAACGAAGGAATGAATTTCCCCGGAATCGCCACGGGAAATTGGGGATGTGGTGCTTTCGGAGGTACCCCCCAGCTGAAGTCCCTCTTGCAAATTATGGCTTGTGCGCAGTCAAGAAGGCCAATAGCCTATTACACTTTCAAAGACAGCAAGTTGCGAGATGAAATTATAAACATCTACAGTCAGCTAGTGAAACACAATGTTACTGTTGGTGAGTTTGGTTTTCTTTCATCGTTTTACTTATAAAAAATGTGGGGTGTTTGGGGGATGAAGCTGCTCGCGTTCGCAGGAATTACTTGAATCCTGACTCCCTACACGTATCCCCTGTGTAGTGCTAAACGAGCAGCACTACATACTGGTGGTAGGTTGGTCCTCTACTAGTGCGAGGCCCGGCGAGGGTTAGTTACCACCCACCTGGCAAGGACATACCGCCAAATAATACAAGTCGTGTTCCGGTATCATGTTATGTGTAACCCATTTCATAGAGAGAATGGGTCTGGATAATGGATGGTTGCGTTGCGCATAGTAACCGGTTGTGACGCGGCCGTTTCTTGGTGTCAGGTGCTTGGTTATGGAGGTTAACGAGATTCGAACGGCACCGCTGGCCGACCGTAGATAGTTGGATGCCCAATTATTGAGCCAGAGAAAGGCTGCCCCGCCATCTTACGAAAAATCCTGGGATGGCTCCACCATGCCGGTTGGCGACCGGAGGATCGCGACCGGTTGGCGACCGAGGACCTGGTGGCGATTTCCGGGGGGGTTCGGCCGTCCCCGCGATCTCCATGCTAGGTACCATCGATGCTGTGACTCTTTTTGCGGCCGTAGGTTGTATGTGTGACGCCTCGTCCAATCTATTCATGCCAGCAATAATGAAAAAACCAAAAAGAAGAGTAAGTCTGTATAGCGGTTGCACTCCCTCTCCATCAAAGTGCACCTCACAAACAGCAACACCAAACAACAGCAGCCGAGGCCTGCATTGTAATCTCAATGCAGTCTATTACCATCTTGAGGCTGACAAGCCGCACTTGCTCTTCTTGACTGAGACGCAGATCAGATGTCCTCTAGATGCGGCGTACCTTGGCTACCCTGGGTATACATTGGAGCATAATTTCCATCAGTGCGCCAGAGTCTGTGTTTACGTCCGCAACGACATCTGCTGTAAGCGTCTCCGTCACCTTGAAGACCCCACTTTCTCTACAATCTGGGTATTCATGGACAGGAATTGATAAAATTATTTATTCCTGTGTCTATCGATCGCACAGCGGCGACCAGGTGACAACTAGGCTATTTGAACACCTCAGTGAAGCTTATAATGTGGCTCTCAATCGGTACCCTAATGCACAGTTGGTTTTTCTGGGGGACTTTAATGCCTGTCATCGGTACTGGCTGTTCCCATACCAGAGGATCGACCGCGCTGGGTGGAACCTTGCCGTGACGCTGGCACTCTCCAAACTGATACAACAAGCAACTAGGGTACCTGATGTGGATGGGCACATAGCCAACTGCCTCGACCTTCTGCTTACGACCGATCCAGACAGGTACAATGTTCAGGTTACCTCACCCCTGGGAACTTGTGACCACTGTCTGGTGAAATCTGTATCGTTATGTTCCCCACCCAACTACGATTTTCACGGTGTGCGGCGAGTGTGGCGATACGAGTCAGCAGATTGGGATGAAATGCGGCATTTCTTTGCATCTTATCCTTGGTGGCAGGTCTTCTTCTCGTCTGAAGATCCGTTGAGCTGTGCGGATACCATAACCGATGTGATACGTCAAGCGATGGAATATTTCATCCCCTTTGCTGACGTGCCCATTGGTGGTAAAGTTCGCCCATGGTTCAACGCCGAGTGCGTTTGTGCTGAAAAGCACAAGCATATGGCGTACTTATCCTGGGTCGATGCTCGAGACCACAAAGCTCCGGATGTTAGCCTTAAGAAGAGAGCTTTTAACCAAGCCGCCAAGTCTTGCAAAAAGGCGTTTCGGCAAGCCAGTTTCGACCGCTTAAACGCATCGGTACAAAGCTCTCTGTCAAACCATCTGGCAGTAGAGCTTTTTGGTATCTCGCCAAAGCGGTCGGGATAAACTTCTGTCGGTCTACACTGCCTCCGCTGGTAAAACCAGATGGCTCATTGGCGCATGCTCCTAAAGAGAAAGTGGATTTATTTGCTTCTCATTTTGCTTGCAATTCGCGTCTGGAAAGTAGCAATAGCGTACTATCTCAATTACCTCACTGCGGTACCTCTAAGTCAGAGGTCCGTATCACCAACAAGGAGGTTCTTAAAACCTTGTGAAGTCTAGACGTGAACAAAGCTAGTGGACCTGATGTTATACCGGCTATGGTTCTAAAGGTCTATGCCCTGAGTTGTCTCCTGTATTAACGCGCTTGTTCCACCTCTCATTCAGGGCTGGAATAGCGCCCAAATCTTGGAAGCTGGCCAACGTGCAGCCTGTGCCTTAAAAAGGTAGCCGTGCCGACCATGCCAACTATCGACCAATTTCAATTACCTCCATACTCCGCCGCCCGCCTTCAATTGTTAGGGATTGAATTTTCTACGAACTTCAACTATGGGCGGTTCATTGAGTCCAGAGCCAAAGCAGTCGTAAGGAAACTTGGTGTTCTTGCAAGAGTGCGGCGGTACTTCACGCCGGGACAGCCCCTTATATAAGGCGCAAGTCCGGTCGTGCATGGAGTACTGCTGTCACATATGGGCTGGTGCTTGCAGCACATATGTAATGCCACCTGGCAGCACATATGTAAGGCTCAGTGCAGAGACGTGCTAAGAGGCTCATTGGTGACCTTGATTTGGTCGAAACCAACCTTGTCAGCCTCGAGCACAGGCGCAAAGTAGCCTCTCGGTATTTTATAGGATGCATTTCGGAGAGTGTGTGCAGGAATTGCACGCTTTAATTCCTCCCTTTCCTTTCCACCATCGGACGAACAGGCGGTCGGCGGATCTTCATCTCTTTGTTGTCGATATTCCACGCATTAGAACCAAGCGGTTTACTTCGAAATTTTTAATGCGTGCAACAAAGGAGTGGAATAATTTGCCGGCGTCTATGTTTCCGTCCGAATACAATCTGGGCTTCTTCAAGGCAAGACTGAATAGGCATTTGTTACGCTAAGACAGTGTGATATACCATTTAAGGTTGCGTCACCACTTACCACCAGGCACCAGGTGGGATTGTGGTCAAGCACTGGCTTATAAAAAGTTTAAAAAAATGTGTAAATAGTACGCACTGGTTTCCGGAGAGAGTGCGGTTCAAACTATGTATACCCCAATACGTCAACATTCACAAAATGTTCTAAAATGTTTTTTTTTCTCAGACAGGCATTTTTTAAAAATTCTCCCTAAAACAGGGGAAGTCAAGTGAACTTACCGACTGATGAAAGAAAGAGAAGCAAAATTTTTATTCATAGAAATTTACTTTGAATAGATTATAACTAAAGTTTTTAATTTATATTACGATTAAGATAATCTATAAATATTAATTTTCATCTCCAGGTCAACTGTACAAACTTCTGGTACAGTTCTGCAATGAGAACCTTCCCAGTTCCTGCTTGAATTCATTCCTATTGCAAATGCTAAAAGATGATGCATCGTCAACCACATTGAAAATGGAATCTACAAATGTGAGATATTTCGTTTTACCTAGTTTTTGGTAAATTATAATATAAAAATATTTTTCTTACTCCATTACAACCCATAACAATTCCACTGATAAACATAGGCCTCCTTTTAAGTCTGCCACACAGCATGAACCCGACCTACCTGCATCCATGGACCCCTGCATGTCACATCAAATTTTATTACCTCCGGATGGTTAGTTTCATTTAATTGTATCTAATATTTCCTATCAAACACAGATTCTTTGGCGATCTTATCGTACTTGGCTTGTAGAATAAGAATTATCGTGTAAATTCTATCGATTATACCTGTATTGGGGACGCTACTATTACGCTGATGATGGACTCTTTAATCCTTGTTTTTACTTGGTGCCGATTCTGTTGATTTGCGTAAGCTGTAGGCATGTTGCTTATCTTGCAACGTTATGCTCATTAGCGCCGACCCCATTAAATCCCTTTCACACACTCTCTCCATCGTCTAGGAGAAAGGATGTCAGGCTAATGTATTTATAGGATTTTGTTTCCGTATAGTCGCTCTAACCTGGTTTGGGTATGAATGTGGCCAGACATGCTCTCATTATGGCAATAAGTCTGACTATTGGCCTTTATTTCCCCCACCTCACTGTAGGAGTGCAGCGAAAACGCCGTCAGGAACTGCCACCTTATAGGGGAGGAAACTGTGAATGGTCCAATGGATTTTATCCATTGTTACCACTCTCTGTGTTAAATTCCATGTCTTCATCCCGGTTCGCCCCGTAAGATACAGAGAAACCTGGGAAGTGCGTTTCAATTAGGATGCGTTGATCTTGAGTAACTTCCGTCTGGTTTCTTTAAATAGATAGATGTGTGTTCTCTTTAGGTAGAATTTCCCTTATCTGATTCGCTTGCTCACTGATTTCTATATAATTGGAATTTATTGAACGTCTACTGTACCTGACTACTATACCTGATGTATTTCTTGTACTTAGACTTAGCTTTCTTATATAGTACGTATGTTCAGATCTTTCTTCACCTTGCGTTTCTTACATAGTTCTTTTACCCACCACGGTTGCGTGCTCTCAGCACTAGGTGGAGCGTTTTCTGAACATGCTTCATGGTAGCTGTCTATCATGGCTTCAGTAACTTCCTGTTCTTCTAGGAATGACTGATCTGCTGTAGTGTTTGTCCCCACAACTCCCGCCTGCGAAGACGTTAGCCTGTTTAGGTATTTTATTTTATCGGTCTGGCGGGGATTTCTAAATGGTGGTGAAAGGTCTGGGCATGAGGTCTCTGTCGATACGTGCCATCCCGTGATTAGTTTAGCCGCTCTTTCTGTTGCAAGTGTTAGGTCGATCTTATCGTTCGACTAAGTTTATTTATAAAGGTTCGTTCGGAACATGTGTTTAAAATAGGTGGGTGCTAAAGAGATGTTCAACTAAACAACTTACCTCGTTCGTTGTTAGGTTTCTCCATCCCGCAGAGATGTTGAATATTTATATTTAACTAATACAATCGCTCACTTCGTACATCTTTCGAAGTCTTAACCTAACACATTATGTAGCAGTTTACTATGGCCGATTTACATTTGGTGTAAATAGTAGCCCGTGTGTATTATATCTATCATGTTTTGTTTAAAGTAACCTTATTTTTATCAACAGCATGTCAGACTCGGTCTCACATTACGTTATGTTTTTATGTGACAGTAAATTTATTAATTGTCTGTGTTGCAGACTGAGGCTGCGGAATGCTTAAAAATAACAGATATGTTGGAAAACGAATTACTGGATTCGCCGGACGTGTTTTCAGTCGATATTACCATGGATGAAGATAACAATTCGAAAGAGCATTTGGATTCTTCAAATAAAAATTTTGAGCAAAAGGAACAAACGCAGGACAAGATGGCGGAGGATAACAAAATGGCTGACACTAACCTTACAGAGCAGTCGAACCAAACGTCACGTTTATTCCAAGAGATGGAAAAACTCGATGAAGGCAATGGAAGCTTAAATTTAAACAGTGCTCATTCATTATCTTTCGGGTTTATGGCCGAGACGAATTGTAGTGACGGAGCAATGGACGCTGATAAAATACAAATGGATATGTCAGAAGGAGTCAAAAAGATAATCAGTAGAAAAATAACTGATTATTTTTCAAAGAAACTCATTTGATGAATTTATTAATAAATTTCTATTACATATAATCATTCTTTTTTTATAAATTCATATCATACAATGTACTTACTACCAATGCAATTAAAGAACGGGATTGAGAGTTCACTCGCACACTGTCACTATCTATACTCACACCCGTTGGTAAAGACTGCAAAAAATACGTTGCGATATGCGTTTTTCAGTACGTTCTATAAGTTCAGTCCAATTTGTCATTGGAATCAATGATAACAAATTCCCATAAACTAAAAAGAAATTCTGTCCTACTTTGTCAATTTGTAAGCTGAGACGCGTTCTGAGAATTTTATTATTATTTTGCTTGTTAATATTTTTGTATAAAATATTTACATGCCATTGAGACATGAGTAACCATTACAACATCATTAAAGTTTTCGTTTGTCTGTCTGTTCGGAATGGCTGAACCAATGATGTTAATACCGTCTCCCTTTCAGTTCCGTAGCTTGAAAACGTCACATGTCATAACTATCCTGATTGTTGTTTGGAGCACTAAGCTCGAAATTGTAGACGAGTAAGTTTGCCTCAGACAAATAGTCGGATTAGGTAAGTCCAACTTCGATCGAGAGGTCAATCGACGGATTTAACTCTGCTGGGCAGCGTTCGGAAGATTACGACACATCTCGTCAGGCATACCTCAAAACTTCAAAACAAGATTGTGCAACTGCTGACCGTTTAAGAAAGCTCAGGCTCGCTGATAGTTTTTCTGTTTGACGTACTTAAAAAAGAGGATATCCGCAGGTGGAACCAGCGTAATCGACATAGCCCAACGGATTAGTTAGTTGAAGTAATATTGGGCTGGGAATATTACTTGAAGAATCTACAACCGATGGGGCAGAAAGGCTCTCAAGCAGCCTAGTACCTGTAGGCGAGGTGTAGAGTGGCCCTCCACTAGATGGTAAAGACATGCAGAAAATCGATAGATGCAGGTGATTCAGGACCGTGCTTTGCGGATTCCTTGGGGGAGGCCTATGTTCAGCTGTGCACTTGTGAGGGAATGTAATGATGATGATGAAAGTGCTGAAACTATAAAATGCTACAGATAACTTTTAAGATAGATAATTTCAGGTCTGCAAGGCTTGACAATATTTTACACATTTTGCAAATTTAATTTTATATTTTTGAAAATTGCTTTAAAATTAAAATTAATTAGATTCTGCACACATTTTATTTTAGTAAATCTCAAAGAAATTACAAAAATTTTGTGGCCCATGAGGGGATCGAACCCGCGACCTTCGCGTTATTAGCACGACGCTCTAACCAACTGAGCTAATGGGCCGTTGTAGTATCTTTCGAAATAATAGATGTTTACAATACTCGTAAGTTATTTAGGTTCATAGAACCACTAACCTCTCTATAATACAAGTTAACACAACACATTTTCATTCTCGTTGTAAATTTTTACAATATAACTATAAGTCAATGATATCAATTTTAATCTTCAATCAAACTTCAAGAATTATACTCATGGACAATAAAAAATATTAGCTGACCTTAATTAACTAACCTTCCACCATATATCTCCTTTCCAATGATATTGCACAGAGAGTATGTACCTCCCGCCCGAGTGTCTCTAATAGACTTGATTGACCACATTTTAATTCATATATTTGCAGACAGATTGAGGATCGTTTTAAGTTTTAAAATGTTTTGTGCTGAGGTCGCTGATCTTGCGTTAAAACGAGATGGACATATCGGCTTTTTATGGCAAAAATAAGGATGATGTGATTAGATGATTTATTGCCTGATGCCGTGCCGTCACCTTTCAGGGAATAATAGGTCTCTTCTTTTTAATCTCTTTTTCTTTTAAAAAACGTTACCCCTACACAGATTACTCGTCAAAGTCTTTACTTACGAAATTGCCGTTTTTTATGTAATAAGTTGCCGTAACTTTTTCTATATTTTTTATTTCTATTAACCAAAGTAAACCACTGCGTTGGCAAAGAAGCATCGATTTCCCGAAGAAATCAGATGGACGGGAGGCAACAAATTCTTCAAAGGCATTTTGTACTGCCTCTCGGGTATTGAAATTTTTTGCCCCCAAAAACTTATCCAAATTTCGGAAAAAATAGAACTCTGTAGGCGCAAGGTCTGAGTACGATGTATGACGAGATTACGGAGAGCTTCCAACCTCGGCTCTTGTAACTTAGAGACAGTCTGTTGTGCAGTATGAGGTTGCGTGTTGTCGTGCAGGGGCAGCGGGGACAAACGATTGACCAAAGCTGGTAGGGAACGCGAGCTTCTCCATCATTGTGTTCAGTTCATCATAGTTCACATCTGCAGTAATGCTTATCCCGTTTGCTGTGATGAATCACACTGGCGCTAGACCACCAAACGTAGACTATCACTTTTCTAGGGGTAAGTTTCCGTTTAGCGCATTGTTGCATTGTGCACCTAAGCTGAACCAGTTGTTTTCTGTCTCCGTTGAGCAGTGCAAAGCACGTCTCTACGCATGCTTCGCGCTGGCGGTCATTGAGTTTCTGGGGCACCCATTTGTCAAGCAAATGGACAAACATTGTTTTGATGCTAACGTCGAAAGCTGCTGCTAATTCATGCGTAGATTGAGTATTATCAGCTTCCACAATCGCCATTAATTCTTCATTCTTGACCAAAGTTTTCAGACGAAATTTCCAGAACGGAATCTGGCAAACCAATAACAGATGGAGCGTTCATTAGTAATATTCGCTCCGCAAACGACTTTGATGTTGTGTGCTATTATATATATACCTATGTAAAATATTGGTTTTTAATTTAAAATATTAAAAGTGAGCAACTTAAAGTGTTACATAGATATTTACTGTCAATCAAGAAAAATAAAGGTATTGGCGGGTGCAAAAGTTTATTTTAACAATTTGAAAATAATACGCCTAAATAAGTAGTGTAATGATATTATACTATTCATCAATTTCTTATTCATTACAGCTCTTCACTAGTCCACTAAAGAGATTAAAAAAATGTCCTCCCAAAGAATGCTCCCAAACATGGCCCTGAGCCACTTGTATCCATCAACTTGCTGCATGTCTTAAAGGTGTCACATCATCTTGTTGAGATGGGGGGGGGGGATCGAGGCACGTAACTCTAACGCTGAACGAAATGTGGAGGGGATAGCTGTGAACGTCGTATCAGTACGAGGGCCGGAATTCGACTGGAGAGCCAATCAGCGTGTGCGAACAATACGCACAGCCAACCATTCGCAATAATGCGCAATATGGCCAATTATGCGCATTAACGATCACCGCTAGACTTTCGTGCCGCGAGTTGTACCTATTATTAAATAATTTACCTTTACCAAAAACTCGACTACAGTGCTACCCATTACATCCGAGCATAGCTATGATCTATGATCTATCGTCTCGACAAAACAAATATCTTGTGTGAATATCACGATAATCACTCAAGTCGTTCAAAAGTTATAAGACCACTGTCATACGTATTATCGGTTATTTAAATAAAGATGCATTATTTTTAACTTCGATTAAATGTGATTTTATTTTTATTAAAATAAACGCGATAAAATCCGTAAAAGTAGTTTTAAGCAAGACACAAGGATAACGTTAATATTTTAGTTAAAATTAATGTAGCAATAACAATTTTGTTAATGTCGTATTAGAAATTGAATTTTTGTTTTTGTGCGCATTAATTTTAGACCTACGACTCTTGAATTCTGTTATAAATTTATTAGCCTATAAAGATACTACAAACATTATAAAAAACAATTTTTATATTTGATAGTCTAGTCGAGAATATCTTCGTAATCTGGCAATACCAGCGCTCAAATGTCTCCTACTGCTGTTATCGGAAATGAGCGTAGACAGAGAAACCTATAGACAAATTGACGCCTTCTTTCGCATTCGCACACGAAAAAGATAGATTTATGCATACGTCTTGCATAGAAATGAGATAGAGCGGTGTCATTGTTTGTTTTTTTGTTTAGCAAACTGTAGAGTTTGCTAAACAACTTTAACAGCGTAGCGATTTAAGGAGTTTACAAGTTGGTTTAAGTGAGAAAAAAGTGTTTTGTGAGCTTAAGATTGGTGAATCTTATTCAGTTCAGTTCTTAGAACAATTAAAATTTTTATCTAAATGTGTTTAAATGTCATAAAGATTATTATATAACCTAAAAATTCGTTATCGTCCTTTCTCACTCGAGGCCACGCCGATCATTAGTCTATAGGTTTCTCTGTCTACGGAAATGAGGTTGCGCGTAGACAGAGAATGCTATAGACACCGGCAAAGCGTGTCGCAAAAAGAATAAAAAATACGCCATTATATTCAGGGTTACAAGTGTGAGGAAAAATTTACCCCACAACTAGTTATAAAATAAGAAATGGGTACGTAAAGAAAATCTGAAAAAGGACACTGCTATTACTGGGTAACAAACGAGCACACAGTCCACGTGATGGTAAGTGGTAGTTGTGACCCTTAGACATCTACATCTATCCTCGATTAATGCAGATGTGATGTCAGCCATGAGGACTAAGATAGAGTTCCTCGTTTCCTGTAAAAAGTGTCTCCGGTTATCTACACTCACCGTACGAAACAGCAGCATTAAGCTACTATTTGACGCTGGTATTCTGTGAGAGCGTGGTCCTACCCCGGTCGAGCCGACCCATTCATGCTATAACTACACTACTAATATAACTGCAGCATGGCTCACCACGCTATAGGCATGTGATGAGAAGACTTGCTGCCAAACTCAAATCATTTGTGAGTGCGGAAGGTGAGGATCGATGATGATTTGGTTATAAATAGCTGCCATTTCTTATGTTCTGACTTCGTGAGTAAATAATACATTATTATTAATAATAAGCTTTTATTGATTATTATCCTTTAAACAAAACAAGCTTCGTATGAGGGTTTCTATTTTTTCTATTTTTATCACTAGTCGATGGCAGTAGGTCAACAGCAGAATCAATCCGAAACTAAGCGATTTGTATGTTAAATCTGCCACACTTTAGGTTTCATAACATCCCTTGATCGAACGG